ATACCATACCATACCATACCATACCATACCATACCATACCATACCATACCATACCATACCATACCATACCATACCATACCATACCATACCATACCATACCATACCATACCATACCATATCATATCATATCATATCATATCATATCATATCATATCATATCAGCCTATAAAATCTGCGATGATGATGAAATTTTAGTTCACCCAACTGGTTTATTTAAATCATAAAGTAAATTTCGAACAATCTAGTTTTTTCCACTTTGAAGATGGATACAAAAAGTAGTACTTCTAGAATGTTTACCTTTTACAGTTGAAATACTTAAAGATCACCGGAAAACCCATAGTTTTTCCGAATCTGTACATCTTGACATGGGGTTTGTGTATATTCTCATGGGTTCTAAGCTTCGCCGTCGTGCTGTCTCAGCATTATTTACAAGACGACTTCGAACTATGGCATTCTTTTGCCTACTACCACATCATTGCGATGTTGGATGGATTTTGTTCTCTTTGGTAAGTCTAATGTTATGACATTTGTTTTTTCTTCTGGCCTTCATAAATCTGTTCAAGGTACCTACGGCTGAATATTTTTCGCACATGTGGCATTTGAGACACTTATACTAGCGCCAAGAAGAGCCACGACAAACTATCGATCAATGTAATGTTTAAAATTATCATCAAATTAAATTGTTTCCTTTATAGTTAATATACTCGGAACCATGCGTAAATTAACGATGTTATCATAGCTCGGCGATGTAATTATTAGGTCGTGTGTTGACTTTGCTTCGCTGTCGAGTCTGGTACCTATAGAAATCGATATTCAGATTAACGTACTGGAAAGGTTAAAATTAATTTTATTTTCACCCTCCGGGGAGACTTCATGATTGAATTTTAAAACGAAACTTCGGAAATATATTTCCGTTTTAGCCATTAAATTGTGTATTCGTTGAGCACTGAAAGTACGGTGTGTTTATAAAATTTTACACAAAAGTTTTTTTTTTTTTTTAAATTATANCGGAAATATATTTCCGTTTTAGCCATTAAATTGTGTATTCGTTGAGCACTGAAAGTACGGTGTGTTTATAAAATTTTACACAAAAGTTTTTTTTTTTTTTTAAATTATAAAAATTGTATCTAGCATATTATGTTTCGAGGCTTTTAGTCAATTTGATAATAAAAGATTTTAAGTTGATATACATATGTACATGAGGATAACTATACTGTCATTTTAACTGGAATACCTAATGGCAACCACTTTTTTTTTTAATAATGTTCGCTTATAATTTAGGAGATGCTTTTGTTACAATAGCGCGCTTCATATGAATTTCTTATTCATGAAACATTGTAACCTTTAGTTATGAAAAACTCTGCTGATTTTTCGGTAAAATCTTAATCTACGTGAAGCAAAAACTTTGTACCCTTTTTTACGAAAATTACGCGAACAGAGAAGTATGAAATTTCCCACACTTATAGAGAATATAGAGAAGGAGTGCAGAATGTTATTTTATTTTAAATTATGCATAAAAATACAAATTAAATCAATAATAAAAACATTACACACACTACCGTGTATTTGACACACACGCGCATGTATACTATTTGTTTATTGTCAAACTTTTATATTATTACTTATAGTCTGTGGTCAAATTGAGAATAGATTAAATATTGTTTATCTTTATTAATATTTGTCTAAAGTGTATGTATTCTTGGATGATTCTTGGCGAAATCTGTTATAGAAGTATTTGACAATATAACTTCATTAGTGTGCAAACTTATAATTTCAATTAATTAGAGTCGAATTTTGACTACCGGGGGACCACTAGTTATTATAATTTGTCTAATGCAAATTTTAAGTGACAATGTGTGTTTCATGGCTTGGCGCATGTCTTGTGTGCTGGTGGCTTTATTACGAGCTTTATACGATCGTATGTTCCCACTATATAAATTTACTTAACTATTTTTGAAGTGAAAACTTCGTTGGCTGTGTTGAGCACTTTTTGGTAGAGAAAAATGTTATGGGTTAGCTTTACCGACATGCTAATTTTATGCATATGCAAGGGCATATCTACACGAAAACATATAAATATATCAATATCTGACCGCGTGCGGTGTGCGTTAGATGGATGGGTGAAATCTTGTGAGTTCGCGTCACCGACATGCGTAATAGCAGTATATCTGTAGCTTAGCTTAGCTTAACTTAGCGTTGTGTATATTACAAGTAAAATTTAATTGATTTAGTAAAAAGTTTAATGATATACTGTATATTGTTCAAATAGTGTTTGAATACGATTGTTATTTAATTAATTAATTGCAGAATCATTGTGTAGTACAATACTGAGTACTAAATATATGTACATACTAATATTTTTAAGTTGAAAAATAAAAAATCTTAATCTTAATAAACAAATGTTAATACTAAAAATCTAAATCTAAGTGTTAAATTTCACTTTTATTGGCAGTCCCGATGACTGCAAAATTTTTTTTTTTTTTTCTAAATCCCTTTGAACAAAGGCCAAACATGATGTTTATATTTCATTAAAAGACAAAATAAAATTGGTACAACAATTGTAATGATCGGCAAACACACTAAAAACGGAGAAAAGCTGTTTGCGATTTTCTTAAATTAATGACATTATTAATTAAAAGATCCAACTAGATATTATTTCTACGGAAAACTTGATACCACATTTTTAAAACGAACTTAAGGTCAAAGCCTCGTCTTTGACGTACCTACTTCTTTTTTTGCATGATTACCCAACCCTAATATTTATTAAAAATTAGAAGCATCTAGATAGAAAACCTCTAATTAGAACGTTAGTTTAAATCAATTTCGAAATTGCAACCGAATATACGTTACATAAGAAAACATCTGGAACATGCGATGAAATGAAAATGCAACCGCAATTTAATCACCGCATTAAGCCGTTTGACGTTTTGTCAGGCCAGTGAATTTTGGCAGGCGGTTCAAGAATTCTCAGTCCTTTCTTCGCCATTTACTTGACAAGGTTCCAAATCTACAGGTACATTAACTGCAACGCGTTTGGCACGGCGTCCCGGGGCTTGGCAATAAATCTGCACAAGGCTCTAGAGGCGGAACACCCAGCGCTGAAGTTGGCTCAATACCGCCACCTGTGGGTTGATCTGTCGCATATGATGCAGCAATTGGGTATGAAAAGTGACAGATCGGAAAGAGTACTCTTGTGTTAATATTATCTTTAATGCAACATTTGAAATGAAACAAAACCAACCCAATCAAAAAGTTTTAAAGCTTGATTAATGTGTGAAAATGAATTAATAAGATATCGTTGATTGCGCCAGATGCTCTTATAAATCCCTCCAGTGAAATTATAGGGTGCCAGAATTTCAGTGGGTGTTCACTCCCAAATTATCTGTTGAACTACCCCTGACTCTGTTCTGTCATTAGCTTTTGCTATCAGCTATAAATGTAACGATTGTGGTGATATACTAGTTATTATGTTTATCTATGACAAAGGAATTAAAAAAAAAGACGTGTGGCACTCGGGGACTGCCGTGGTAAAGCTATTGCAAAGCATTTTTTATCAACTTATGCAATTACAGTTAGACAATAATAATTTAATATTAAAACAATAATAAAAATAAGACCACGCTATATTTATAAACATTAATAAAAGCAAAACATTAACTGTCCCCTTCACACTCATAAGCTAGACGGCGTGAGAGAGAGATGGGCAGACTTTTCATGATGCTCGTGCAATGCGACGTCACGTCGCGCACTTATTCACAAACACTACACCAGCGCAACGTGTGAATGTGTTAAACGCGAGCTACATAGTAGGCGTAGTGGGGGTGTCAGATTATTTTCGTTACGGAATTTCTTGATTCAGTCGCCGCGCTCAAGGCCCGCGATAGAAGCTATGCAATAGCTTAATATTCAACACTATTTAAATTGTTATATATTATAGATGTTATTTTGAGAGGCTTGTAGGACCGTCGTTTTTTTATATAGCATATTATAATACATTTGCTTCATAAGCGCTTTGGTTTCAGGCCGCGCTTATTCCAACATGTACGGCATTTACTGCATGGTAATATTCTTCACAACAACAATATCATTGTATGGCGCCTTATCGGAAATCTTAGAGCACGGCCTAAGTTACAAGGAAATGGGATTGTTTGTCATTGTCGCTTACTGCATGACGTTACTCTTCATAATATGTAATGAGGCCTATCACGCTTCGAGAAAGGTAAAAGAGCATTTAGTACAAAAATATATGTACGTAACCTTATCCAGAATATGTTTGACGCATGTTGCAAATGTTTGGAACCATATCCGCTCTATAGGAAAATCCGCATTTATTTCAGTATTTTCAGCCGCATTCGCATTTGCTACCAGCAAATGTACATAGATGTTCAGTGCTATAACGGATAAGGTAAATAAATCTCGCATCAAAAAATCAATGTAAAATGATATTGCGTTTTTATTAAATATTTAATTGATTAACGAGTGATTTCGGTCACCCTTTAACTGTTTGCTATCTTTAGCCTCTTTCAGTATAATTTTTTTATTGTTTAGATTGGTGGTCGAGCTCACGGCCAGCCTGGTATTAAGGGATTACCGGAGCCCATAGACATCTACAAAGTAAATGCCGCCACCCACCTCGAGTTATGAGTTCTAAGGTCTCAGTACAGTACAACGGCTGCCCCACCATTCAAGCCGAAACGCATTACTGCTTCGCGGTAGAAATAGGCAGAGTGGTCGTACCTACCCGTGCGGACTCACAAGACGTTCTACCACCAGTAATATCTACTCGAGCCGTCTCACAACACGCTCCACTACCAATAATTATGTAAATTATGATTTTTACGAGGTTTATTTTTATTACACGATGTCATTATATTACTTTGTCGTGGAAGTCATTCGTGAACATGTATTAAGTACGTATTTCGTTAAAATATTGAACACCGATCGAATCGCATCACGAGATACGAATTCACCGGGCGTCTTATTCTTAAAGCCACGACGAATCCAATTTGCTGTAATTACTGACGGTACATTTTTTGACTTTGTGTATATCTCAACCTCAACATGACTTTCAAACGGTGATGTATATACATACATATATACATATATATATACTCTATTAACCAATTCCAAGTAGACCCGTCTACCCAACCAAAGTAAAAAAGAAAAGTCAAAATAGTAATTACCGCTTCAATTATCTAAGAATTTGTCCATAAATAATGCAAAGTGTATCCTCCGAGGTAAGGCCCAAGGATTGTAATAAGGACACATTTTGATTCACTCATTTAATATTCATGAAACATGAATACGTTAACGAGATCTGTATTACTACTTTCAAGTCGTTCGTTATTTCATTCATAATACATGTAATTCCTCGTGTATATCTCGCTTGCAAAATAATATTTTTTATTCACTTGATTAAGTAAACATTGTTGGTTGTATTGTTTAGAAGTTCTTAGTATAATTTTGTGCTTCCGTGAATCGCACTCACGCAGTCACGCAGTTAAGTTCTCAAATACACTTTCATCTCTGAAAGGAACACATTCTTTTAATCTATGGAGCAGCACTGCAGTAAGTACTTTAGTAAATTACGTTTCAGGTGGGTCACGAGTTTCAAGATCGTCTCTTGAACGTGAATCTGGGAGCGATAGACCGAAGCACTCAACGTGAAGTGGAAATGTTTCTGGTGGCCATAGCCAAAAATCCGCCCATTATGAATTTAGACGGCTTCACTAATATTAATAGGGAATTGTTTACTGCTGTAAGTTTTAATGAATGTTTTGTGAAAATGTTTTATTATCGCGCACGTCGTATATAGGAGGCTTCAAAGACAAACAAAAAGGTGGTTACTTTTTAAGTTTGTTTAGTTGGGCACACTACGTACACCTGTTTTTTTTGAGACTTTAGAGAGAGAAAGAGAGAGAGAAAACACTTTATTGCACATCAAAACACATTTTACATTCAAAAACAGTCAAAAAGCAAATTCATTTGCACAACAGACGCTCTTATCGCTAAAAGCGAACTCTTCCAGACAACCGTTTAATTTACAGAAATTCTAGAAAATATAAAAATATGGCAGGTATGTTGCGGTGCTGGAGTCATGGTCCAGACGGCTGGCTGATCCTTCGGCTGGTCGTAGGACCGTCGAGGCGATTCGCCCGTTCCTTGTGGATTGGGTGAATCGTGACAGAGGACGCCTCACTTTCCGGCTCACGCAGGTGCTCACTGGGCATCGTTGTTTCGGTGAGTTCCTGCACCGGATCACAGCCGAGCCGACGGCAGAGTGCCACCATTGTGGTTGCGACTTGGACACGGCAGAGCATACGCTCGTCGCCTGCCCCGCATGGGAGGGGTGGCGCCGTGTCCTCGTCGCAAAAATAGGAACCGACTTGTCGTTGCCGAGTGTTGTGGCATCGATGCTCGGCGACGACGAGTCGTGGAAGGCGATGCTCGACTTCTGCGAGTGCACCATCTCGCAGAAGGAGGCGGCGGGGCGCGTGAGAGACGCACAATCCCGCCGCCGTCGAGCGGGGGCCAGGGAGGCGGATCTCGCCCAAGCCTTGGCCCTCTAAGTGTTTCGGGTCCCCCTCACATGTCGGTCTGGGGACCGGCGAGGGGGGCCTCAGAAGACGACGTGCAAGCTGCTCTGCACACGTTTTACGCAAGAGCATCCGGGTGATGGAAGGCCGGCTATCCTCGACCCACGCTGGTTCTGGCCCAGCGGGGTATTCCGTAGGGTAACCCCCTCTAACCGGCGCCATCTAGGCGGGCTTCGGACAGTCTGCCGACCGAGAGGGCTGGTGGTCGTGGCGCCGACGACCGCCAGGCCGGCGTCCCGAGGGGGAGGGTGATGGGAGAGATGTGCTCCGCACTAAACGCTTCACTTTCCCCCCTTTGCCTTGTCATGAGTTCTGTATCATGCGAGGTTTGGACATTGGTTGTTGAGCGACAGGAGGTTTTAGTCAGTTCGACTCTGACATACCCCGCCCAGTATCCCCAGAAAAGGGCGGAAGTCCGGCGATTTCCTCCTGACCAAAAAAAAAAAAAAAAGGTATGTTGCGGTGCACTATAGACACTATATTATTATAGAAAATATATACATACAATAAACACACTTTAAGACTTTAAGACATGTTGAGGTCTTAGTTGTGTTGTATTCGAATACTCCGCCCTTTAAACTGTTGGCAGCAGAAATTGTGGTTTACACCTTCGGTTCTCATTGTATTGATTGAAATGGTCTTGATGATACAATCCCCACAGCTAATAATTGTGTTAACAGTTTATTTAGCTTATTGAAATGTGACCCAAATTTTGATGTATGTTCAATACCGCTTTTCCACTTGTAGTTTATTTATTATAGGGTGACTAAAATAAAGATGCGCGAACCACAGAAAATCAAGTTTAAAACGTTTTGATGTTCCCGTAGTTAGTTCTGACTATTGTATTCGTACTGAGCCCCAACGGAGTCAATGTCTCTGTTAAAGCTATTTGGAATCTGGATCAATCTACTTGATCTTGCTTCGTATCTGGTGATCTTAAGATGTCCATCGATGGCTTTCGTCTTCATGATGATATGCTATCTCATCCTGTCTTCAGCTACCCGGAGAGCATCATAGATGAGGGAATTGAATATGCGTATCTAGTTAGATCAATGTATTCGGCTGTGGTACAGCGATTTTTTTCTCCAGTTTCCGAATAACCACTAGTTTACAAGATTATCTCTCCACCTTTTCTAGAAATAATATAGAAGTTTCCAGTTTGAGATGATTGAATGTGATAATATTTTTTAAAATTAGTATTAACACCAACAAGCTAATTTTCGTAATAAATTGCTTAAACTGTTTCATTATTTATTTCAGAATATATCGTTTATGTCCACGTATTTAATTGTTTTGATGCAATTTAAACTCACGTTACTTCGTCAAGGAGCTCGAAAGACGGTAACAGCTATTGTGCGAGCTATCTTCAACACTACAATTACTGATAATGGCGCTGGTGGAAGTAATGAAGATCAAGAATGAACCCAAAGGATCATAAATAACAGTTACCTGGGGCAAGCGTTCCAGCAAAGAGCCCTTGTTTTATCTTGCATTGTAATTTTTGATGAATTATCTAGAATAAATTTACTGTAAACTCTCAGTTTTCTCTTGAGAAATTCTATGCCTATTTTTGTTGTATATTTACACATTATTTATGGTCACTTGTAGTATTTTATAATATTTTAATACATTTATTTTTTACTAGCTGACCCGGCAGACTTCGTAGTGCCTCAATCGATAAATAAAAGATCTAAGCTTTTGTATAAAATTTAAAACAAACAAAAGAAATTCGTCCGATGGGGGAGATATGAACGGGAAAAAAAATTATTTTTATTAAATTTCGAGCATTTTCATATTTATCTACCTTTTAAACCTTCTCTGGACTTTCACAAATAATTCAAGACTAAAATTAGCCAAATTGGTCCAGCCGTTCTCGAGTTTTGGCGAGACTAACGAACAGCAATTCATTTTTATATATATAGATTATTTACACATTCTTTACAAAATAATCGGAAGACCTAAGAAAGTTTCACCCGAAACATGCCCGATTTTTAATTAATATATTTTTTACTGTTTTATTTTATAAGAAACATATTTACTATTATATTATTTTTATTAAGCTTCGAATACATTGTTTCTATCACGCTTGCCTAGTTGTAATTAAACATCGAAATTGCCCTCATAACTGCTGTTTCAAGTAACAATGTTACGTTTTCATTATCCTTTTAGTGGTTTTGCTGTTATTCCCTAGTTTCATTGTTTTAAGGCTATTAATAGTTTGAGTTCGGCATCATTTTAGTTTTCGTAGGAAATATTCACATTCGTTTTATAGCAAAAACCATAGGTTTTCACTTTCATTAATAAAATATACTTATCGGTATGGTCTCTCATATCTATTTGGTTCTGTGTTTGTATCGCACCACCCGCCATCCAAGCGATCATTCATTCGCTATAGCTGAAATCATTGCTTTCTCCTACAATACGGTTTCAATCGCAAAACTATCCCGTTATCTCACAATCTCTGATAGATGCTATCTATTAGAAAATGCTTTTTTAAGTAGTTTTAAATTAAGCAACTTTATGGAAAACTATTTTTATACCAACGGTGTACACAAATAGTGTACGTAAAAACACAGGATATTTAATTAATTAAGTTCATATATCTCAATCATTTTTTACCTGCTCGTTGCGTTTTAGGTGCAAGTTGTACTCAGATAATGGGGTGAAATCCCAGGGTTGATTATCAGTTAAAATATAAAAAATCAATAAACATTTTATTTTAATAGATCAATCAAGTAAACCTACAAAAAATATAACAAGTTTTGAAATGAAACTCATTCGTCACAATTGTCCTAAATAAATAGATATTCAAATGTTACAGAACGGTCGTAAAATAAAATACTAAAATATTCTGTCTGTGTTCAAACTCGTTAGTCCAAATTAGATTCGACGTTCAATATTTCAAACTTTAATGTAATAAAAATTCAATAGCAACGACTAAAGTATATAAGATATTGAATAACGAATAATTAACCAGCGCTTCATTAAAATAACACAAAGTTATGAAAGTAGAAACTGAATTTAATTAAAGACCAATATAGCACGTCTTACTAAATACATACGTTCGGGTGTTATTATTTTGAAGAACAGAATATAGGCTTTTTTTGTGCGACATTGACCCGAATAATTATACTTGAGACCTTAGAACTTATACCTCAAGGTGGGTGGCGCATTTACGTTATGGATGTCTATGGGCTCCAGTAACCACTTAACACCAGGTGGGCTGTGAGCTCGTCCACCCACCTAAGAAAAAAAAAAAAAGATTTCTTATATCGAAATACTAAAAAACTTGTCCAAATAAACGTAAGCTTGGTTGTCGTTTTCTCGACTGCAAGCCTGACCGATTCGGGTGAACCGCAGTGCGGTATCGGTATAAGTATTACAAGCGGGGTGAGTGGTTACCCGAACTGGCTTGATTTGCTGAGATGAATATTGAAATGCTTAGTTGCGTATTCTTTAAAAACGTTCATTGCGTTCGTTAGAATAAATCGAATGGTTTTCGATTATTATTTTAGATAGAATCGTCTTTCGGATCACAATATGATATATATTTTTCAATTCGGTCTGATGCTGCTTTATTTTTTTTGTAATCAATATTAATTTGTGTCATTGCAATTCAGACTTTAACATACAAATCTTTAGGTGGGAAGTTACAAACACCTCGTGGTATCTATAAACTCATAATCACACGAAATGCGTCAAAGCTTAACTATCTATATTATAAAAATCTTGGATAGCCGCCTCAGACATTACGTAAAGTGAGTTTCGTAAAGGAAAACTTTACTTGAGAACTAACTAAAAAAAACTTGCATTTGTTGTCCGTTTCAGGCACAATTCAGAAACATGGATACTTTAAGTAAATGCACCGAAACGCTTAGATGTAATGCTGAAGGAAGATGTTACCGATTTCAAACAGAGTGCATAACGATACTACTTCAGAATAGCCTCAGATAGAGAATTTGCATTTTTAGCCCACGTCTTTTCGAAGAGAAAACTTGGAGAGGTTGCTGTAAGTAATATGAAACTTAACAACAGGGTACAAAAGGATTGTTTTGATTAGATTTGCATTATTGTCAACAACGACACTTCCGATAGAT